GGCCCACCCTGATGGCCGAAAAGGCCCCCCACAGGAGCGCCAAGACAGCCCACCAATGCCTTCAGACGGCCCTCATGAGAATTTCGAGAGGGTCCAAGAGTGGGTCGAGATGGCCCAATATGGTCCAAAATAGCGACCCAAGACGCCCAAATCAGCCTTCAGCTGGCCCAAGATGCCTCCAAGACGCCCCAAGAAGCCCCCGAGAGCCTGCCCAAGAGAGCCCCAAATGCAAAATTCCATGAGTTTTGCGAAGGTTTTGGAGAGATTCTCACCTTCGCGCGTGTCCGGCTCTGGCGCGCTCCAAGGCGGCCCCAGACGCGCCCATGCTCGACCTGCGGCGGCCTACGAAGCCTCCAAGACGGTTTGAAAACTGCTCCGGAGGGTCCCAAGACGGCCCACGAAGCCGCCAAGACGGCCCCAAGAGGCCCCTAAGACGGCCCCAGGAGGCACTAAGAGGCAGCCAGAGGCCCCCAAGAGGCCTCAAGTGAGCCCAAGACGCCTCCAGGCTTACAGTTTCCATTACTTTGTTCACGGACTTTTTGCTTCGTTGCCTTTTCGGGCTTCGGCCGCTCCAAGCGACCTCCGGGCCTTCTCAGATCGGCCCCCACTCCCCGACGGCCCCGACGAGTCTCCAAGACGCTCCAAGAGAGCCCCAGAGTCTCCAAGACGCTCCCCATCCTCACAATCCTCCTCCTCCTCCTCCTTCTCCCTCTGCTGCTCCTGCTCGTCGCCTTCCTCCTCCGCCGCCTTTTTCTCTTTCCCCTTCATTCCTTCTCCTCCGCCTCCTCCTCCTCCTCCTCCTCCTCCTCCTCCTGCTTGTCGCCCCCCTCGTCCCCCAACTTCTCCCATTTTTCCTCCGGCGACCCGGGAAGCAAACTCTGATGCTCAGTTGTCGATGGAGCTGCCTCCTCCTCTTCCTCCTTTCTCTCTCTCTCTCTCTCTCTCTTTCTCTCTCTCTCTCTATCCTCGTCATCCTCCTTCGCCTCCGCCCTTTCTCCCTCTCTGCCCCCCTCCTTCCCCTCACACTCCTCCAACCCCTTCTCCTTCTCATCTTCTTCCTCGTCCATCGCCTTCTCTTTTCCTCCACCGCCCCTGGGAACCAGAATTTGATGTACAGTTTTCCTTGAGGCATCTCTCACCTTCTCCCCCTCCTCGTCGTCCTCCTCCTCCTCCTTCTCCTCTCCTGCTTATTCTCCACTTCTTTCCCTGGGACCTGGGACTCTCCCTTCCCCCCTCCTCGTCCTCCTCTTTGTCGTTGTCTTCCTCCTAAATCGCCGCTTTCTCAGGAGCTCAAGGGAAACCTAAGAGGACCCCTGACAGCCCCCAGACCCCATTCCTTTCCTTCTCCTCCGTCTCCTCCTCCTGATTCACATCCCTCCCATTTCCCTACGCCCCTCCATTATCCTCCTCCTCATCCTCTTCATCGCTATTTTCCTCCTCCTCTGCCGCCTTCTTCCCCTTTCCATCCAGCGGCCCGCGGAACCAGAATTTGATGCGCAGCTTTCCTTGAAACTTCCTTTTGCTTCTCCTCCTCCTCCTCCTCCTCCTCCTCTTCCTCCTCTTGCTTCTCCTCCCTCCCCTTCCTCTCCGCCCCGCCCTCCTCCTCCTCCTCTTCCGCCCGCGCGCCAACTGGGATCGGCAGGCAGAAGAGAAGGAGCAGGAGGACGGAAGGAGGAGGAGGAGGAGGATGAGGACAGAAAGGTGAGGACAGCGAGGAACAGGTGGGGGCCCAGGAAGACGGGAGGATGGTGGAAGTTGGAACCAGGAGGGGGCGGCTGACGGAAGAAGCAGAGGATGGGTTTCAGTGGGACAGGTGCTCTCGCCGAGGCTCATGCCACATCCCTTTTTCCACATGGTGCTGCCGCTTCGCTCGCGAGATTTGAGAGAGCGTGACCCACCGCCGCTTTACTGAGGAAAATTCCCCCCCTCTTCCTCCTGAACCCAGGGTTCCCCCCCCCCCCTCCGAAAATCTCCTCCCCCGCCACCCCCCCTCCCATACCCCCCCCCCCCTCCCACTCGAAAGCCGGGACGGGTCACTACCGGTTCGAGCTCCCCCCCCCTCCTCGAAAACCGGAGGGGGGGGCTGATTTTCCACGCAATCGGGGGGCTCAGTCCGAGACGCGCTCTCCTCAGCAAAGGTCCATCCTGGCGTAGTGGCGCCTGGGCCTGCCTCCACTGGGTGGGCGGGAAATTCCACCTTCCCCAACTCCTGCTGTGCTCCCTCTGCCACGGCTCTAACGACCTTCTGATCCTTCCCGGAGGCGATAAAGTTATCGACATACTCGGTGTGAGCGAAGGGCACCGGGCCGGGGGGGGGACGGTGGTCGACGACGGCGTTCTTTTCGGCGACGCCGGGGACGAGGCGGGCCCGATGTTCCAACACCTGCTGGCAAGCCCACAGGGAAAGCTTCCAGCCCATCGGGATCACCTTCAGGACTGGATAAAGGTATTGGCCTCGTCTGATGGCCCGACCTTGGGCCGACGAGACGTTCGCCAGGTCGGCTCGGACCCGAGGAAGGACGAACATCTCTCGAAGGGCTTCTGGTAACTGCATGTTATAGAAGGCGTTTACGATATCGACCGAGCCGACCTGGACTGGCGTAGCGCTGTCAACCTCGACGGTGGAAAAGGCGGCCCCCGAGGCCAGCGAGACAGGGTCACTGTCGCCAAAGTGACGCGATGGAAGACGTCCTTCCACTATCAAACGAAGGTTACATGACTTCTTATATACAAAGAACAGGCCGCACGAAACAAGGCCCGTCAAACGCCACTCGATCAAGTCGGAGTCGGCCATCCGTCGCAGCAGCTCCACGTACAGGGCCGGCGACCGTTTGAGGGCTGGGTCGGAGTAAGGTCGAGCGGGCCCATGAAATCTAGCATTCTCCCTGCCAGTGGATTCAGGCAAGCGCAAGTGAACTAAACGCTCAGCAATCCCCTTGCCCCGATCTCCTGCCAGGTGCTCGAGTGATCGCGAGGTCGACCCAGCAGCCGGCAAGTCAATCAGGTGGACGGTGGCCATGCTGAGGGGGGCGATCACGGCGCCTTCGCCGCAAGCGCTCTTCGCCAGGAGCGCTCGAAGGGCCCCCGGGCCACTCGCGTCGTCCGGCGGCGGGCCCATGGCCAAGACAGACTGGCGTATCAGGTTGGGACTGGCCCGCTGGCTCGCCGAAGGGCCACTGTTCATCCGAGGGCAGCGCGAGCCGAGATGCATGTCTTTCAGCGCGCCAGCAATCTCATCGCATACCAAATCGACGTGATTGGTGCGCTGAAGCCGGCGACGAGTAGACCTGCCAAGATGAGTAGCAGCTCCACGAGAGCCTCGGTCCAAAACTGGTGGGGGACGAGGAAGAGGCAGCAGGTTTCGCTGCCACTCGTCGGCCCCAGAAAGGTGGCGGTGAGCAGGCTGCCTCTCGGCCCGCAGGCCAGGGGGCCCTCCCTGATCGTGCTCATGCTGGGGCTGGCTGGGAGGTCTCTCCAGCCCCGGAGGGGCGTGCGTCACCCCTGCTCCTGATTGCCCTTCTGGACAGGCCTGGCCAGCTCCGCCCTCTCCTCGCGGGCCTTGCGGACCTGCTTGAGGATGGCGGCGTCGCGCTCGACCTCCGAGGCCACGTGGGTGATCAACTCGGGGCTGACCATGGCCATGCCCGAGCCCTTCGCCACCCCCGAGAAGATGGCCGACTCGTCGAAAACCGCGTGCTGGAGGGGCGCCGAGCCGCCGGCCTTCCACTTGCCTTTGGCACCAGGTCCTCGCGTGGCCAAGAAGTCCATGTGATACGCGTACTCCACCAACTGCGCGGTTTGCGGAGGACCAGCTCGAAGAACGCAATGTTGCTGACGTCGATCATGTCAAAGCAGAAACCCTCGTCCATGCATCTCATCGTAGCGCGGTGGGCGTCGACGCCCCAGTCGTCAGCCCGCAGACCGAAAGTCATGATCAGAGACCGGCGGTGCTCGAGCGGGCCCCCTTGACGCCCGCAGAGCCACTCGCAGCGCCGCTTCGCCGCCCCGGGGCCCGGCACAAGCCAATCTGGGAAAGGCGACTGGCGCAGCTCCACGGTCGAGGGGGCGAAACGTCCTCGAGCTCGGTCCTTGTGTGCGACGATCGTCGCCCTGTTGAGCCCGAGGTCGCGGCGGCTCTCCATCGTCGCGCACTGCTCGACCGGGTGCGCCTGGAGTTCGCGCGCCAAGACCGAGACCCCGAGAGGGGTGGTAAAGATGCCGACGTCGCCCCTCGCGATGTCCGCCGCCGCCAAGATGACTGGCGTGCCCCGAAAAGCACATGTGGTCGACTCCACCGTCACCCACTGGGCCCCCGCCGCGGCCGGGCTGGCGCCGCCTGCCACCCAGATCATGCGTCACCGAAAATTTTGGGTAGCGAAACACTATTACCGGTAGCGGCATCGCTGCCGAATTTTTCGGTCGCGACCGATCTCGGTCGGTAACGCCGTTACCAGTAACGGCGTCACCAGTAACGCCGTGCTTCCGAGCCCCTAACCTGACGAAAATCTGACGTCAGACATGACATTCTGACGTCAGATCCGAGACGCTGACGTCAGATATCCCATGGTTACCAGTAGGATTATATTATTAACGTTGGGATATCTGACGTAGCAGTAGCAGTAGTAGTAGTAGTAGTAGTAGTAGTAGTAGTAGTAGTAGTAGTAGTAGTAGTAGTAGTAATAGTAGTAGTAGTAGTAGTAGTAGTAGTAGTAGTAGTAGTAGTAGTAGTAGTAGTCGTACTAGCTG